AAGTCTGTATGCTTTCAAAACATATAAATGGAACATTAAACCAATGGGAGATTAGTTTTGCTGAAACTTCAAAGTTTCAAACGGTGCTGAGCGTGTCGCATAAATCACGCTGTTGTGGACATCGTTTCCGCTTGAATGACCTGCAGTGTCATCCTATACTACCACTTTTATTAACCACTTCACATCACAATCTGCCACAGGTGGAAGTAGATCCTGAGATCATGCAGGGTCACACCAGACGTGGCTCCGTAACAGCTCGGAGAACCTCCTTAATGAGAAGATCTAGCTCGATTAGTCTCTTTGGTAAAAGTATACTCTCAGAGTCTGAACATGTAAGGCTATCAGCTCTTTACAACTCTACTTTAGAGGGAGCTAGCCGTGATAACTTTGATAGTGATGAAGTGGTTGTCCCAGATGCTCTGATGGAGAAACTTAACAGCGAAATGAACTGGCCTGATATGAGTGCTCCGACCGGTTTGTGCAGCGAACTGATTCTATGGCGAGTCTTCCCTGTCGGACCGCTATCAAAATCTGGTGGTGTAATGGAGTTAGCACGTATTAACTCGCCATTCTTGAATGCCTTTTCTCACGTTGCTTGGCTTCCCTGTCTTCTACCAAGTTCCTGTCTTGGTCTTTCATCAAATTCTCCTAGTGCTTGTTTTGTGGCATCAGATGGATATACGCTACGTGTTTTTCAAGCTGTTATAGATGCCAGGACACTTTTAGCAGAGGTTTCTCCAAATAGTGATCAGTTTGAGGTAACATATACTTAAAGTTATCATGATTTTTATTTGATCAAACAATGCCTCTACATACATAAAACATCAAATATTTACAAGATGATCTGCTAAAACTGAGCCAGTGAAAATATAAGGCAGGTCATGAGAGAGAATTAATAATAATTTTATTATTTGTGTCAGATCCAACAGTTTTTGTACTGAAGCATGAGTGGTTTTTAGGGACCTATCTGAAGGTTCTAGGAGAGATGGTCGATGGGTGTTCCCATATTGTGTGGGTGTTTTTAATTTTAATCTCTTATGTAAGTGGGCTTAAACTTACATAAGAGATTAAAGGTTCTGCCACTGATTATTTGTTATTGTTGTTATCTTCATTTTTGAGACTTAATTGCACCAAAAATTCACAACCAATGTTTTGTGGTGCCTTCCCACGATATTGATGTTTAATTGTTAATGCTTGTATTTTTACTTTGTGTTGCAATGTATGAATTTATATATTTTTGATTAACCTAGGGTTACCTAAGCAGTAGTTCACCACTCAGCACAGTGCTAAATCCTGACTTAGCCAAGAATGCTGAAGGTTTGAATGTAATTAGCTTGCAATCAACTGCAAGACCTGGCTGTGTCATTGAACTTGAGAAACTTAATAATGCAAAGCAGGTAGGTTTGCATCATTAATCAAAGTTATAACTCATATACTGTATTGCAAAATATGTCTTATGTGAGAACACCTCTAAAAATAGATTGAACAGTCTGTCACAGACATTTATACACTGTGATCAAATAGTAGACAAGTCCTCATTTTCATTCATGGCTACATTGTGTAAAGAACCTACATAAAGCTTTCAAATCTATAATTCGTAATGACCACAACACTTGCATATGTTATTTTCTTATGTGGGACTATGTATCATCACTATATTTTACAGTTTATGGTGCATTTTCAGAAGAGAATAACTATTTTTTTAAATGGTAGTGCACAAATACTGTATTCACATGAAGCGGAGAAGGTTGCTCTTTTGCCTGATTGATTCTGTATAAATAAAATAAATAAAAATAACAGAAAAAAACAAAATCACTTTTTTTTTCTCAGAATTGGCAGAATGTCCAATTGATGCATGCCTTCCAGCACCAGTTCATCTTTGGCAACCAGACACAAGATTTCACAGCCAGTACCAGCCTTCCACAACCCAATCAGTTTGAAGAACAATTTTTTCTAGTTGTCATGGAGAGGAAGGTGTCTGGAGTGTCAGTCATACACATGTGGTACATCCACCTCAGTACTGAAGTTATGAAGAATACAGGTTAAAATTCAATTTTGTTTTTCACACTTATTTTTTGGTACCACATGTATTCTTTCCACCATCATTACCATTGTCAAAGAGGTTATGTATTATTGTTTGTCCTTCCAGGCTTATGGTTTGGGACCTTGTCCTCAGAAAAGAAATGGTCCAAAAGTACTTCGGCGGAGGTACTCCGATCAGTTTCATTTCGTTTTATTTCGTTTTGGTTATTTCGTCTTGTACTGTAAACCATTAAACAACAAACAGTAACAACCAAGACAGGATGGCCAACAGCGAAGAATCAAACGATAAACAGGGACTCCACATAAAACAACATAAAATACAAAACATGCTGATAACAGAATAATATTAATAATGATAATAATAAAAATAATAATAATATAATAGTAATACTGTAATAATAATGATAACATTACATTAATATAAAAAATCATAATAAATGCAAAAGATTATTTAATTTGCAATTTACAGTACAAAATGTCAGTTGATTCCAACTTTTAGTAGCCGATCTAGTCGCCATGTCTTCCTAATGCATAAATGTTGAATCATAATGTATGGTAAAATGCCAGTAGTTGTAAAAAATAGTGAGTTTCGAGTTTTTTAGAGAGCAACATTTGAGTAGTCATCTCACACGTAAGACATGCACAGAAAGATTCATCCACAGAACCGTTCAAACAACATTCATTTTTGGCCGGACATGCTTAGACCTCATCTTACAATGTTAACAGGCTCTGAAGTGGTTAACACTATGTTTCAGGCCCAGTTGCAAGCACTTAATGGCATAGTAGTTAAAGTATTGTGCTGTTGAAATTCCTTGGTTTATCATAAATATAATTTTTTTTTCTGTTGTAGTTCCTCGAGGAAATACATTTGAAGATGATGATGATGACGACATTCCTGTAGTTGATTCCTCCTCTGACTCTTCAAGAGGCAATAGCCCAACGAATTTCAAAACAATACCACCAGGGCAGCAGACCTCCACAAGGATGAAGATTTATTCTCGTAAAGTTTGCAGTCAGAGACTAGAACTTCCAGCTGGCATCGAGGTGATCAGCGCAGCACCTGCAGCAGGCCATCTCAGTTCCTCATCAATTTACCCCTCCTGTTCTGCTCCTTACCTGTTCTCCACTGCATGCTCTGATGGAAAGGTACGTTTCTGGAAGTGTGATGTTCAGGAAGAAGGTGACCTAGACCAGAGGTTCTATGAGGATTCAGATTTGGGAAAAGAGATGCATTCTGATACCAAAAACAGTAACCCATTTGTGAGTGCTTTTTACCAGTGGACAGAATGGGTCTTAGAAGCAGAAGATAAGGTAGACAGCTCAGTAGTTATTCAAGGAAAACCACTGACTGTTAGCTGTGCTTACAACGGCCGCATTGGTTGCGCTTATGAAATGAAGAACTCTGACAAAAAACTGGCAGTGGTGATCTATGAATCGGAATCAACTGGTGGTTCTGAGTGGCTGAAAGAGGACACACTCTATCTGAGTGATGTCTCAACTCCAGATCCACAACCCAACTCTGATATATTAACAGAGGAGAACATTAGCTATAAAACCATGAAAAGGAGTTCCAAGGTTAATGATTTTGTTGAACTTGATAATGATTTTGGTCTGATTGGGCCCAGTTTGAGGCCTCGCAAAGCTCAAGCTAGGTCCAAACACTCTAAAGCTATTTCTATACAACTTGCTTGGGTTTCAAAGGAGGATGGTTCACATATGCTTACAGTTGGTGTTGGTGGAAAGATGTTGATCTATGCAAAATCCTTTGGAGATGTTCCAGATGATCAAGATGTTCGACGGTTTCGAAGTTACTCTGGGGATCCAAGTCACCTTCCTGTCAAGCAGAACATCAGTCCTTCTCTTCTACACAAAAGTATGGTAAAACCGAAATGGCAACTTTTGAGAACAGTAGGCCTCTCATCAGTTGATGGCCTTCCACCACTTTCTAAAATGCTGGCTTGGGTCAGAGCCGGAATCCTTGTTGTCGGGCTAGAAAATGAAATGCATGTCTATTCGCAATGGAAGAGTGAAGATAAAATTAAGAAAGTAGAAGAAGATAAATCTGGAATGCTTTCAAAGAACCCCAGTAATTCCCTCGGTATGAATCTGTCTGTTAATATCCAGACACTACCAATGAGCAAGACAGACCGAGAAAAGTCTTATGCAGACATGACAGAACTAGCCAATGATGATTCAAAAGTAGGCACAGATGCAGAAGAAGATAAAGAAGCAGTGTCTTATGATTGTGGTTTGTTCGAGACAGCGTACAATGCTTCACCAGTCCTCCCCCAGTACCATCCAAAACAGTTAATGGAACTGTTAAATTGCGGTAAGATCAGACGTGTAAAAGCAATTCTGGCACATCTTGTTAGGTGCATTGCTGGGGAGAGTGCATTACGCAAAGCTTTGATGCAAGGCGACGATGGAGACACTGAGAAACAGTCCAGCAAATTGATGAGGCAAGTTTCTCTTGGAACAAGTCCAACAGAACCGGTTAGGCTAGAAGATGAACGAATGAGGCTCGACTACATAGAAATCAATGCTATCCCGCCACTACCATTGTACGCTCTAATTGCCGTAGACAGCACAGATTCCACCCAGACTTCTAAAACAAAACGAGAATCAACAATTGGTGTAGAAACCATGCCAAAATCAGAAGACTCAACAGATTACTCTGATCTCTTCTCCACACCGACACTTGATGAATACGACCATTCAAACTGGGAGGGCACTCACAATCGAGATCGGGCAAACGACATCTCAGCAAAGATGCGCGATCCTTCGCATTTTGAGATTGCTCAGGCTAGGCTATTGACCAATCACCTTACACATACTCATCTTCCACGGTTAACTAGCCTGGATCAGATGCACCTGTTGGCTCTGGCAGATACTGTAGCTTCAGTGAAGACAGAGATGACAGTTGGCAGTACTGCAAGTGCAGGTTAGTGCTTTTTTCAGTACTATAGGAAGGATTCAGTGGCATATCCAGGGGTGCTCTGGCATTTTGTTTTGAACTTCGCCCCTCTATTTAAACAATCCAAAATTAAAGTATCAGCTATGTATGACATTTTTCACTGTCTTTGAAAAGCATGTGACTCAACACTTAAAAAAATTAATGTACTATATAATAATAGATTACCATGGTTTTTTCATGGCAAATATATATTAACCTCATTCTGTGTTAATTGCAGCTAGTGTAATATCCTACAGAAGTTTATTATGAATCAACTAGACCTTGATGTTACATAAACTATGACTTAGTCATGGGAATTAATAGTTATATAACCAATGTGATAAAGAACCAGGTTAATAAAACTAGTGATCTAATGTTTACCATTGTTAATGACAAATAACAGTAATCTGCAATAATTTTTTTTAGAAAGATGCTCTATTTTACTTTTATACTGATATATATTATAATATTTTTGAAAATTATATAAATTTATTTATAATTATATAAAATCCAGTAAGTTAATCTGGTTTTCAAAACGTTTTTCGTTAACAGCAATTGGCAAAGAAGGAGCAGGATATGCCAGCAAAGGCAATGCAGACTCAACTCATGCTGGTAAATGTCCCATCTTGCTACTTATAAATATGTGATATAATAATTCAAATAATAAACACTTATTGTTTTTTATGTTACATATAGTCCAATTCAAGCAATGTATATTTTTCAGGAGAAACCCTTGATGAATGCGGTGTCCGCTTTCTATTAGCTATGCGATTCCATACATGTCTTCTGAAGTCTCTGCCACTTAGACAACAGGTAATTTTGACCAGTGAGAATGACTTGTTGATTGATTACTATTTAGACATAAATTTAAACATAAAACATAAAAAGAACACAACACTATGCATTTATAAGAACATGTCACTGACTCATTCTTTTATTCAAAGATACTGGGTCTGTTGATCTAATATTAATAACCTTGAATTATAAAACTCATTATTTTAATTGCTACTTTGAAATTCCTTGCCTAGGCCCATAAATTTGCTTGTAATCAATTTTTTGTATTTTTAATATCTGTCTTAATGCATGTTGATAACTTATTGAATTTGTTAATGAGAGGAATATTTTTTTTCTGATGCAGTAGTTGACTTTCGTAGTTCTTAAACAATAAAATAATGTTATTTCTTCATATAGATTAGCTTGAAGCGCCAGGGCCTAGCTACATGTCACTATGCATGGGCTTTCCATTCTGAGGCTGAAGAGGAGCTCTTAGGCCTCATTCCAGGCATGCAGAAAGGAGAGCCTACTTGGGATGAACTGAGAGCCATGGGGCTGGCATGGTGGGTCAGGAGTAATGTGACATTACGCCGTACCATAGAAAAGGTATTTTAGTATAGAGAAACTAACGACTAGACTGAAGCTGCGTTTACACCAAAGCCTAGATCTGGTCCAGACAAAAAAATTCTGAAAAATGGGTTCAGTGGTAAAGAATAGGACGGTTCACATCAAATTTGTATGATTTCCAATCCCGATGGATCTGAGAGCCATTTGTATTGTGTACGTTTTTTATGTTAGACCAATCAGCAACGAGTTTGGTTGGTTGGTACGCATACATACTTGACCCCAAATAGCCGTGTTCTGTGCGCCATGTAAACGCAGTGTTCAAAAAATGTAACAATTTAGGATTTTTTTGTCCAGGTTTCGGACCGTATCCAGGCTTGATGTGAAAGTAGCATAATTGTTTTAAGATTTAAGGTTATTTTGGCTGTTATTGTCTAGCATTCGCTAGTTTCAGTCCTCATTTTGTTTATCTGACTTTTTACTTCAAGTATTCTCCTTGTTAGAAAATACATTAAGAAAATGCATTAAAAATCCAAATTTGACTTTCCTATGAAATATACAGTATGTACATGCATACATACCAGTACATACATTCTTGCATACATACATAACTTATTTTTTGTTTTAAAGTTGATATAAATTTTTTTTTTACGTATTTATCATATTTATATTAGGTTGCTAAGTCACAGTTCCAGGCCAAAAAGGACCCATTAGATGCAGCCCTATTCTACCTAGCAATGAAGAAAAAAACTGTTGTTTGGGGTTTGTACAGGTAAGTGATCAATAGGTCATGCAACTTAATGTTTTGTTTTGTATTCATTTTAATAATTCGTATCATAATCCTGTGATTGACTGTTGTGGGGTATCTTAGCCTTGCGTATGCACAGTTGTGTTCCAACCACAAATTTCATATGCTTTACCGTTTATTTGTTTTATTAATTGTTAAACTCTATTTACCGATGGTAATCCTAACAGCAATGGGCCCTTCACAAGAAACACACATTCCATTTGAAGTTAGTGAAAGATTATCTTTTAATACCATTAATTGTTGTCATTAATTGATGTCATTCTTTATATTATGATTTTTTTACTTGTTTTTTAGGTCCGTCAAAGACGCCCGAATGACTAGTTTCTTTGGTAATGATTTCTCTAAAGACAGGTGGCGTAAGGCTGCCCTCAAAAACGCTTATGCCCTTCTCGGAAAACAGAGGTTCAACCATGCAGCTGCATTTTTTCTTCTTGCCGGTTCCTTAAAAGATGCAATAGAGGTCTGCTGTAATAACTTAGGTGATATTCAATTGGCCATTGTGATTGCTCGTCTGTATGAAGACAATATGCAAGTTCCATTAAGCTATAAAAAAATCTTGATGGAGAGCGTATTTGGATGTGACTTGGAAAGAAATCCTTTACCTAAAAAGACAGTCTGTCCAGACCCATTCCTGCGCAGCATTTCATATTGGGTTCTCAAAGAGTATACGCTAGCCCTGGAAACACTGCTGCGGGAACCAGAAAGCATGGTTTCAGACCAGCCGGCTGTGAAAGGTGATCATTACGACTCACCACATGGCAATCCAGATGTCTTCAATTTCTATAACTATTTGCGAACACACCCACTTCTGATCAGACGCCATTTGGCGGGGCAGGATCGCCCAGCTGCTGGTGCTTCTGTGCTGATCACAGGATTTGGAAAGGGTGGTGGACAGGTTGCCAACCAAGGAGATCATGTCATTGAAGATGAGATCACCCCAGAAGAGCGCAGGCTGTTTTTTGCCACAGCACATGCACACTCTGAAGCAGGTTGCCCACTACTTGCCCTTGAAGTACTTACTAAACTACCGAAGGTCAAAGCCAAGTCAGAGGTGGTGGCTAAGGAAACAGAATCGCTTGTGGATTCTGGAAATGAATCGATTAGTAAAGAGATGATTACTAGCGGTGTCTTTAGTGGATTTGCAGAAAGTGAACTTAAACGTGATGGCTCAAAAGACAGTGCTATAGAATTTGACTGGAGTCAACCAGTCACAAATGCTCTTGATAAAGGAGGGGGTTCTGCTATAGACTGGGGTGCACCCACAGTCCCTGAATTTGAAGAGGAATTTGATTTAAAGTGGGATGATGAAGAGGATGAGGATGAGGAAGAGGGTACAGAGGAATCAAAATCTACAGAACCAAATATAAAGAATGAAACCAAAGATGAAGATGCAAAGAGCACCACTTCAGACGGAAGCACCGTCAGCGGTAGTCCATCAGTTGATATCTTAGCCCAACAACAAAAGTTCAAATCTTGTCTTAAGATCATGATGGAAGAATTGAGAACACTTGCAACAGGTTTTGAAGTTGAAGGAGGGCAGCTAAGATACCAGCTTTATCAGTGGCTTGAGAGGGAAGTGGAGATACTGAAATTATTATGCAATTATACTGGAGATGGACTCATGGTTGTTGACGAAGAGGCTGGTATCTTAAGTGACGGTGAAGATGATCTTACAGACAGCTCACAAGCTCTTCATGAGCTTATCAGAGCTGAGATGGTTGATTTTGAAGCAAGGTTAAAAAGGGCAGAGAGACGTAAATCATGGCTTAAGAAAAACCACCATCTTCTTAGGACTTTGTTTAGCTATGCTACCCACTATGGGTTGAATGGTGGTGGATTAACATCCGTTTGTATGGAACTGGTGCTTTTGATGCAAGAGGTGCAACAGGAGCGGCGCACACAGCAGCAACTGCACTTGCGCATCCCGCTTCCAACGACATTACCATTATTATCTGCAAGTATCGCTAACTGTAAGACAGTAGTTGCAGATCCAATCATGTTCCTTCGAAGTCTCACCCATGACGTTCTTCAAACAATCCTTGAGTTTACGTCGCCACCGCGGCAGAACAAGAATGTTAATAAGGTGATGACTCTTCACAGACTCTGCGTTGCTCTTGCTGCATGCTTTTATGAAAGTCTTTGCGACAGTGAAACTTTTAGTCCTGCCGTTAGTCAGACTAAATTTGGTGGCATGGATGTTTATGATGGTCGCAATTTGAATTTTGTCTTTCGCTCTGGACATCTTGTCTGTGTCAGTAAGCGGCGACGTATTAGTGAAGAAACAGCAAAGATTACCTCTGCACCGTCAAAATGGCCAGGTATAGTAAATAAAACTATTCAGGTGTCTATTCAAATGGTGATGATGAAGATAATAAATTTAATAATGACATGATAGTGATTATAGTGCCATTTCCAAAATTATAGACTGTATGTTAGTCAAATATGCTTACAAGCTTTCCATGCAGATCATGTGCGGATCCAGTAGGGGGCATGTTGGGGCTACAACTAAATTTTAAAATTTCAATGCATACTGTATATTTAAATAACACTACTCACTTATCTATTCTGAAAATGTTGTGCCCCAATCCCCCATTTGAAAATTTCTGGATCTGCCCTTGCAGATGGTATTTGAGTTTGGAAGTTGTAAAAATTTTGATATGAAATTCCATTGCAGATTTAATGTTTGGATTGATTTTTATCTAAAAAAAATTATGAGAATGGTGGGTGGTAGTAGCCATTTCATTTAGGTTTAGCATTTAGGCAGCATATAGTAAGTAGATAAATATTCATTCAATTTATTTTGTGATATGTTAGCACTATTATAACGGATGATGATTTTTTTTTAAGGTGTCACCCAGCTACAGACACTTCTCGCTCAAGAAAAAGATGAAGATATTCCTAAAGCTTATATTCAACTTTGTGAGGGTCTCCTAGCTATCTATATAAGTCTGCTGGTTCATGCACTGACCACAAACAACTGCAATGAACTGTACCGTCTGATGGCTCATAAAATTGACCAATCAATGTGGGCAGCTGTCTTTGGAGGCGGAGCCAAGATACGTAAGCAACCTAAGCAGCAGCCTACGTCACTGGCATCATCACCAAGTCCTAACACAGGTGAGAATTGAAATTACTGTACAGTGCTCACCATCTATTCTCAGACTCGTGTTGAAAAAGTATTTTTCTTTTTTTTTTTCTTTTTTTTTTTGATGTGTTATTAAATGTTGGATAAATAAAATTGAATATAGAATATAGGTGTTTCAATATATGAAAATGTACAAATACAAATCATCACTTTTAGTTTAATATACATTAAAATCATATATTTTAAAATTAAAATGAGCTAATATGTTATTTACTACTGTACTTGTGTGACCCAGATTAAGTTTTTTCTCTAATTTACAGACTTTTACTTAACAAATTATTAAATCAGTTACTGGCCATTTCAATCACAAATATTACTGGCTAGAAAATTAATAAGTATTTGTTTGCTATTTTTTTTTTTTGAAAACATAATTTACTATTGTATACGAAGTATTGAACTTAATTGTATATTAACCCAATACAGACAGTATATTTTTAGTTTATTGAGCAAGTAATTATGAAAATTTCATGGTATAACATATTGGTTTTGATAGGTAATAGCAATCATGCAGATAATCGGCGCAACAGCCTGTATATGAGAGTGCTTGGTAGAGCAAGCCGAGGCCGTGGACCAGCGCCCAAGTCAGACGAAAAGTCTACATATCGTGAAAAGTTTATACCACCTGAAAGCAGCGTCATTGACTTCTTAATGTTAAAGGTGAAAATGCATTATTGTATGTAAGGGAGTATTCTGGGGGTTAGATTTACGCCAATAGAGTAAAGTCTGTATGGTCTAACGGTATGATACTCGCCTTGATAGTGAGAGGCTTCAGGTTCAAATCCTGCAACAGACACTTTTTTATAAACTTAAAAAAGCAAACTTTCTGTCGAAGGGCAATAATTAATATGATTGTAACATCTTTAGTTTTTATCTGAGCACTGTTGTTATTACGCTCTAGCGTAAAAGCTTATCAACCCATAAAGCATTATCGCAAGATGGTTTGAGAAAGAAACTTGTTTTGGATATTAAGCAACCAAACAAGAATGCATTTGTCAAAAATATTTACATACCAGGAATTGATCTTAATAATATCTAAAAATGTCTATATCAATATTGAACCTACTATATTGGTTTTATTCCTTAATTATAGATATACAGTAATCTTCCCATGAGCCAACAAACAAGAATATTCTATTATTAAGTTTATTCATATAGAAAGATATTTTTTAAATTTTCCAATTTTGTTTTCTATCGCAAATGATCCATTAATATGGGATGTGTAGTAGCTTGATGATTAAGATGTCTGCCTTCCAAATCCTAGGCTCCTTTGTTCCATTCTTGGATTTTTTCTTGCTAAAAAACTAAGAAAACATCTCAACTTCCTAAGCCTCATAAATGAGACTTAGTATAAGCCTCACTTTATGTTTATAATAATGTTCTTGAATAAGCACCACACTTAAGGCCTGTTTACACTATGACGATAACGATTTGTTGTGTATACGATAAAAAAATATTTTCACAAATAAAATCAAGTGACGTCATAATGGGGAAAACGATAAAATCGTATCATTTTTTCATGATTATGACATCATTTGATTTGTGGAATTATTTTTCTATCGTATACATGATAAATCGTTATCGAATCGTGCTAGTGTGATTACTTCTCTTATTTCTTTTATTTTCTATATAAACAATTGCTTTTTTGCTTTTTATCGTTGATTGTTGTTGTCATAGTGTAAACATGCCTTAACTCCACAGTCCTTATTAGAGCATACTCAATAAATCAATTGAATTAATTAAAAATATTCATGTTTTTCATGTCAAACTGTTTGTTAACCATAAAAAATATTCTTTATCTAATATTTTCGTAGCCATATGTAAAAGCTATTGAGGAGGGCATTGGTTACGATTCAGCTGAGAGCGAGGCATCTGATGATGACGATTACTACGACGAATCAGAGAAAGTCAAATCCACCTTTGACCTTGGAGAGAAAGAACATAGTGACTTTAACTCTTACAGTTGGTGTTTAATGCGGTTTGTTATAGTTCAGCTGACGTTGGACAAGATGGAGAAATTCCTGCCTGTTGGTGGCATTGAGCTTGCTGGTAGGGTTCCAAATCATATAATTTCCTTCTTTTTTTTTTTATTTAAATGGGTTTAATAATTAAGACATCCTAAGTCTATACTAAGATAAACAAACAAAAATATAATATTGGTTGATTACTTTTTTAGAATTACCTGTTTCATCGCCGTTACTTCACTCGATTCTTAAGTTACTTGAACAGTGGATTCAAGCATTAGAGTACAAGTTGGAACTTTTCTCTGGCCCGCCAGATGACTATATACCAGATTGTATGGGTGTTGGTATCAGCAACACCACTGGTCCTGCAATACTCAAATACAAAGCTATCTTAGAACCTGAAAACACTCCATTCTTGTAAGCTAGATTTGATATTTTTATTAATCTTACTTTTTATTTAGTTATTAATGCATAGTTTATTTTCATTGTACATATGTTTTAGATTAATAATTAACATTAATATTATAGTTCCCTCTTTTTCTATTTTTTTGTATTGCTTTTGTGATTGCTGTAAATGTCTATGTGAAGGCCCCATGATCGTCAGCATATTGCTGTTTTTAGTCACCCTCAGTAAAAAAAGTTGAATAAAAATTAAACTAATTATTAAAAATACAATACTATAAGCATATCTTTAGATCTCAATAATGTTTATATCTTTATATCCTTAGTTTATGATAGAATTTGTATCACCTTCTCAATTGATTTCAGGTGTGATAAGCGTGAAGCTTTGCCGGCTAAACGTCTTTGGAACTTCCTTGTCCGTCAAGAGAAAACACAAGACACTTTTATCAAGTATATATTTAAGAAGAAAACACCGCTAGAACAGGTAGGCCGAGAAATATGCCATTCGTCTCTAAAATAATACAATTAAATATATATTTTTTTAAAATTGTTTTTAACATTTTTTAAATGGTTACAATTCTTTTCAGATTGACACTACTATGGGAACATATCCTGAGCAATCAAATAAGGAGCAACGTGTACATGTTGGTGTCATCCACAAGGAACCAGAAAAAATATCTGCATTCTGTTTCAATCAGGTAAACATGAGTGTTTATAGTAAATAGTAATTTTTTTAATAGTATTGCGTGTTGACAGGTCTTACATTGGCACCTGTACACACCCGCATTCCATTGTTTGATGTTAACAGCTTGTAAATGAGGCTATACACAATGCTTTGCAGTTGATCGCATGACGGATTGCTGTGGCAGTTTGATGAAATAATCCCTTTTTTTTGGAATGGCACCATGAGCAACGACTGCTATGATGGTACCATATTTTTTTTAAAAAAACGATAGATTGATGGTGTAATTTTTTTTACTACTTGTAATTTAAAACCATAAATATAGTTATATAGCGCATTACAAAAACTGCTTATAGTGCTTTATGTAAGAAAGAAAGAGAAACGGTACAGTAGATGAAAGTACTAACATAATGGCAATAATGGGATTTACTGCATATGCTTAAAATTTTTTCAAAAATCAATCAGTTATGTCGGTTTTGATTTCTCCCCTTTTCATAATTTTTTCTTCCTGTTTCGTGACTTTTAGGCGGACTGGAAGAATATAACGCAGAATGGAATGTACAAAGTATGATTGTGTTCTCTTTACAGGGTGCTTTGATCTTACTAATGAATGATATAACAGCAAACAAAGAAAAAAATATTTAAGTGAAATGGTTTAAAGGTTCATCTAGACTTTTATTCTGTAATACTTAACTTAAGTCTTTGATTACATATGGCCTAAATATTGTTGCATTTAGAAAACTTAGAATGTGTTTGAACCACTACTCTCTTATTTGCATATCACTTTTGGTTACCTAAATTATTTTGTTGGTATAGCGAGACACAGACTTGTATACGTCACAGAAATATTTTTCTCTCTGTTTGCTGAAAAACGGTCACCTACTGTATGTATACATATTACTGGTGAAATAACAACCTGATTGTACACTAATATCACAGTAGGGCAGGCGAGAGGAAATTTGGAGTTTGGGGGATGAAGATGGCCAAACTCAATAAGAAGCCTAGTTTTAGAATTATTTTGGGATAGGTTACATGCCCCTGTTTTGCACCCAAGCTTGTGAGGCAGCCATCTAGAAGTTGAGGCTGGTCGGCAGACCCTTCCCCTTCATTGGCCTACAAACAAGTGTCACTTAACTAACAGAATTATAGCACTAGTTATGTATTTGTGATTTGTTTTTCTTTTTACCATAGAGGCTTGGTATTTCAACTGCATGGCATAGAACATCATATGAGGTAGACATACTTCTGCATCTGACATTAATGCTTGTTAACAACTCTCAAATAATTTTATCAGTAGTTTTTAAATATAAATTTATAAGTACATGACAATACATTCATTAAAAAAAATCAGTATTTTATAATATTATATAATTATTCCTATCTTTTTGTATGATAAATACACCCTTTTATGCATAGTTACAGCAAAACAGCATTGTTACAGCAAAACAACATCAAATTTTACTAAAAAATTCTGTTCACTCTGCTGACTAAAGAATGATTGAACCATTCAAGCAACATCAAGTGACAAGATTACATAATTAGTGATAACAATTTAAGAATTGCATTTTTTATTTCTATGGAAAATATTTTCAATTAAAAACCCCTTACTTAAATTTACAACTTAAGCAGTTATAATTTTAATTATATTATTTTAAGTTTAATATGTTAGTTTTACACAGAGATTGTATATTTAACAATTGTTTACAAAAGTAGACGCTACCCGCACCAGAAAGCTGGAAGCCGCTAAAATCCTAATCAAATTAAATGATTTAATAAAAAATATTGTTGAAGGGATAACCTATATCAATATTCTCATAGTATTGAATGTTGAAGACACACACAAATCAAGTAAATTTGTAAGGTTCAATCATTCAGGCTCTGATAATTTTCTACAGCATGTTGGTGGTGGTGTGCTTTTGTTTTTTATTATATATTTTTTTGCATTCCTTTACCTTACATGCCTAGTTTTTTTCTCTGTCTTTATCTGTTGAAATCAGCACACACTGCACCATTGTTCTATTGCCAAAACAAAAGGTTTTTTTGTTATTGTTTTTTTTTTTTTTCCTAAATTTCATATAGTGATGCACATTTACCTGATTGAAGTTTCAAAGACAGACTGACTAATTTTAAAGAGTCTTAAAGGCTTCCAGGAATTCATGTTTACTGTATCTTTTGCTAATTGGAATCCCTTTTATCATTATCTTTTTTGAAGCTGAGTTTCCATTTATTCCCTCATCGTGCAATTTAATCTTTTCAGTAATTACTATCTTTTTTCTTCTATTCATACCTCTTCTGTTAGGGTTTCTGTTAATTGCTTTTCTAGGAAGCCTACCTACAGTACTTACGTAACGAAGAGCATCTTAGCTTTTAGTCAGCTATACTGGTGGCAACGACTGTGTGTGTGTGCTGTGCCATGACGATCCTTACAACATCAATCTTCTGTTCAGTTCCATTCGCTGCTTCCCTTGTGTTTCAGGGAAGAAATGGAAGTTTCATTTATAGTGAACTTTCTTTTCCATTGGTCCCTTGTGTAATATTGCCCAAGTGCATGTTTAAACACACTGTACACGTTTCAGAAAAAGAGAAAGGGATTTTCTCCTGTTCGGAGGGGGGCCAGTTGGAAGAAGCTTTCTTAACGCATTCAAGTTTAGTTTGCTGCCATTGTGATATTCATCGCCAGCTGACCTCAGCTGGTGAGAAATAGTAGCCAAAAGAACGTTTCAATTTTCAAGTGGTTCAATAACCTTGTTATAAAATCTTAGTCTAGGCTTCATTCGTGTTCACCATGTTCGCCAATGCTGCATACTGTAATAAGGTTGGTTAGTAGGAACAATATTTTTACTCTACCTGATGTGTTACCTTACTTGATTAATTTGGTTGGGAATCAAACCCACAACCCCCAGTAAACCACTAGACCACCAAGCTTGTGCTTAGTGACTAGTGTTGAATCTGATGCCCAAGTACCAGTAGGTACTGCATTGCTATTCAATGGTATTTTGCGTTGGGTAGCCTTATCACATGACTTCGGCTAGGCCTAACAACGCGGTGTGATAGTAAACCACCTTTTTTGCACACAAACTGCAAAAAATACTGAACACTACTAAAACTTAGGGGATAGGAAAATGCATAGAACATAATTTGACAACATATGATAGAGATGTGAGTAGTTTTCTAGGGACTTCACTTTTTCTTGTATTTACTAACACGGGTACCTTTCGGCTTTGGATTCACTACTTTATGCATTTCATTTTAGAGATTTCCAGTCATACCCTATTAGGAAATATTTGATGGTGTATAATAAAATGCTCATGTTTTGTGTGTTTTTTCACTTTTTTTTTGTCTAGGCTAGTGCTTCGGGGATGGTAGTTTCTACACACAAAGAGATTCTTGAGCTTGACATATCCATGCTGTTAAATCAGAAATCAAGTCTGTGGGTTGATGAGGAGAATGAGGAATCTGTACCCAATTTGAGTAGAAGGTACAGTAATTATATTTGTATTTCGAATTCTGTGTTTATATTGGAGTTAAATTCCCTCCCTCCTGCAATTAAATATATACATTTATATTTCTTAACCAATTTCAAATTGAAATTGGAAATTTTGGCTTGACACCTAAGACCCTGGAGCTATCTCAGTGCAGTGCCAACCTACGAGAACATATACATTCATAGTTATTTTAACCTAGCTAACCCTTATGTGAGTAATACCATGGAACAGTTAAATTACTTTTTAACTGTTCCCAGGTGATACGAAAAGCTGAGCGATTGCTGGAACACAAATCATTTATTGTTATAGTGATAATGATAATAAGAATAATGATAATAAAATAATTGGACAGTTGATTTTAAAAGTTCTTAAAAATATTTAATGATTTGTAACTGACTTGTGACAAATACAAACATTGCTCTGTTATGTGATGGATATAAGAAGCTAGCAATCAAACCCAAATTCAAATATTTTGAATTGTTCTTTTTTGAATTTTTTATTTTCTATTGATGTAATAATATAACAATGAAATTTCTAGAAACTGTTTAATCTCTTAAAAATAATACATGATTTGGTAACAAAATTAATAAAGATGTCAAAGTTCATGTTTGCAATATCGGTACAAGTGTAGGCTGTCTGGTAGTTCATTAAAATTAATTAGTTAATTAACTGGCACACCTCTGCAGTTTAATTAGCAAGAGTAGATCACAATATAGCAATTGTGTTTATTTATGGACCATAATCTGCGTCATAGTTGGAACTGATTTGGCATTATGACGGTCTATAAGACTGTTTATAAGAGTTAATCCATACGTTTTACAAGATTTGACCTCTGGAATGGGACGGCAAGCAATTACCTATGAAGTGGTCACAAATTTAAATTGAATGCCCTCAAGTAGTTTCAGCTTCACATGAATGTCAATGATCAAGTTATATTACACGAGCATATATCATATGGCATCTTCTGTTTAGAGATTTCATAGAATTGACAACAAATTCTGCAAAACACATATTATGCTCTCCATGGATATCTCCATTGAGAATTCAGCAGTATTAACAATTATCTCATTAAATTTTTCATTATCATCATCGTCGTAATCGTTGTTGAAAGTCAGTGGTGACGTCATCATTTTAATCTACATTTATGCACACGCACTTAGCAACCGACCGCGGCCGCAACCCAGCATTGTGTGTTTATGATGTAGCAACCGCTCTACAACCAGCAGTGTAATTAAAGGGGGATGGATGTCACAACTAACTTTTATAGCAATTACAGTCAAGTAATTTTGTACACTATAGGAAATAGAAGCCTTAGGCACCATTATTTCCTTCAAAAATTGCCTTCAGTCTTGCAGGCTTCAAGTAATTTTTTCAGGAAATTCTTCGGCTTCTATTTCCTATAGTGTACTCAAAACCTGACTATAATTGCTTTACTTTTAGTTTTAATAGTTATTTTTATTGTTAGGCCAAGAAAAAGAAATTCTTTTGTTGGCCACATTTTGGGGAATTCCAAAAAATGGGTAGGTCAGTAGAAAAAAAAAAGAAAAAAAATCTAAAATGAGGACTCTCAACTTTGAACATTTTGGGTCAGTCGGGTGTGACCAACACAATAATTTTTTTTTTATTTGGCCTTATTAATATTATATGACCTTTAATTCACTGTCTGAATGGTTGTAAACTCAAATTACATTACTTTTGTATCTTGTTTTTAAAATTTATTAATGAGGCTGGTCCGAGAAAACCTAGCCAGTATAATCCGTTATGAGCCTCACTGGTCCAGAGAAGGAATTTGAAACACAGCTGTTATCAATATTAATATTATGGTTATTATTACTATTATCTTACACTTTATTTCCAATCATTAGAATGGTTTTAAACTTAAATTACATTACTTTTGTATCTCGTTTTTACGATATTAATGAGACTGGTCCGGAAAACCTAGCCAGTCTAATCCGTGAGCCTCACTGGTTTAGAGAAGGACTTTGAAACCCTCAATGTCCAATAAAATTCGATGAGATGTGAAACCTGTGTTTTGGTAAAACCACAAATGCTGTACGTTCTAGCTGCTATGACCAAACTTACGTTTAGCGTACACTGGCAGTGCAACTTTATTGCAACCTCAACTCAATTAGGTGCATGCGACGGATTGTTTTCAACGTTTAAAAAAAACCTAGTTATTCATTCTGAGCTGTTTTTTGTCCAACAAAAATAGCTCAGAATGAAACAAATCCAATGTGAACAGGGGCTTTACAACACACGAAAGACCGAACCCTTCTCCAGTAAATTCAACTCATTATCATGTTTTTAATTTTCTTGGCCTAGGAATATTTCTACTCTGTCTAACAGTTCTAGCTTGTAAGTATATTTTTGAAATATGTGTGTGTCTATATACCAATTGCTTGCTTGTCATCAATTCCAAGCTTGTCCATGCAATATAGCAAAAACTAAAGCTGGTCATAAATAATTGTTGAGGCACCTTGTGATATGTCATGGTATATACAGTACTGTGATTATTTTTGTTTACAGCACTGATTTTTACATTATTTTGGTTGTAGATAGATTATGATATATTAACATACATCTCTTAAATACTATAGTAGTATATAGATTCAATTTACTCTGTAGAGAAATACTGGAAAGAAATTGATTTCTTTGTTTACTGTACTTTAAATTTAAATTTCTTCTGTGGTGGGTATATTGTTGATTACTACTCCTTTTGTACTGTTTTATAATATTTTAGAAAATGTGTATAGATTAGAAATTGTTTAGTGAAAATCTTATGCTATGATTATTAGGAATAGTGTTATTGATTGATCACTTAACGACCTTTAGCTTTGAATATCAAATCTAAATATAAAGTCATTAACATAGAACCAATTAATATTATTTATGACCATCAGCTTTTTGCAGTCTGCTCTTTCCTCAGCTGAATGAAAAAAGCATAGAGGCCTGATGGTTTGATGGTGAAGTGTGCACTCTGCAATCTTGGGCAAATCATACACCCAGCCACCCCTCCCCCCACCCTTTCTCTTCAGCTTAGGTGCTGGTTTAGATGATCTTTGTGGGAAAGCTTACAATTACAACATTTCTGGTTCAA